GTATCAAATTACTGACTAGCTCTGAAAGGGTACGGCTGCATGGGGAAGGGAAGGGAGAGTGAGGTGGACTACAGGAACACCGTCCCCAGGACACTTAAGCGTACGCCACATCATGACAAATTTGTCGCACTTTGAGGCTGCAAACATGCGTTGGAAATTGTGACTTCGAAAGCTGCCAACCGAGGGGATAGCTCGGCCCTCGTGGTCAGTAACTTCTGCATGTGGGATGACCGATTGGTGGGCAGAGGGCGCACCTCAGTGGTTCGTTCTTAATGCAGCCTCCATAGGGCTCGCCGTGCGTAGGAATCTGAACCTCCTCCTCCTTCATGAGAAGTTTTGGCCCACCATGCGCGAAACAGGTCGTGCGTGGGACACGTAGAGGGGTGGATTGGCTTTTTCAGTCTGATCCGGCCCCATTCGTCCTGACGCCGTATGTTTAGGTGGTTGGCTGGGCTGGGGAAGAAGAGAGTGTGGCAGATGCTGTTCAAGTCAACTATCAGCATAAACAAATTCCTTGCTGCGCCAAAGCGCAGCGAGTACGCTTTGGACGTCATTGTTTGCGACGGACGAAATGGCAACTGTTATATCTACCATTGTGCATTGTTATCCCTATTACACCCACGCTCTGGCTGTCTTTGTCGGTAATAACATTCTGCCTATATCCTGCACCGCTGTGCGGCTGTTGGTCGAGCACGAGAGAGAGCCTGTAAGGCGCAACGGGTCGAGTCAGTTCCGTGAAAACGACCGGCGAGCGCCGCTCTACCCTCGTACATTCTCGATCGTTAATGCTAACTTCCCGGAGAGGGAGAAGACTGGGCATGAGATTTTTAGAAAGCCGACTACAAGCATTTAATTGGACGGTGCCTGGAGGAACCGCAGGCTCCAGACGGCTACGCCACAGAGAAGACACATTGATGCCAGTTGCGGAACGCCCCCCCAGTCCACTGCCCTGGACATCCTCGGTCGTTCACACCGTCAGCACTAGGATATGTTTGACGACAACGACGAGGATATTTGTAATCTGCTCGCAGGGAAGAATATGCTGCACAGTGCCTGCATCAAATGCTGTACCGATGCAAGCAAGGTCGCCTTCCACAGATATCGCCGCTTGGTGCAGCGAAGGTTGTGGGAGATGCAAAAAGTATGGATGAATTGCAAGGTCGAGGAAGAGCATTTTATGGGTAAACTGCTTAATACAACCAACTACTGCCAATATCTTCCCCATGCCACTTGTATTCTGTTTTAATTACTCAGTTTATAGCAGACTAGATAAAATGCATGGCGATTGTGAGCATATGGTTCCATAGTCACATATTAGGGTGTTGGGTATACTCAGGAAGGGATATCTTCTGTCGGCAGCTCTGTGACAGGAAATCCGAAGGGGAGTCCTAAGACTTCAGAATAGATTTCAACGACAACTGCTGCGGAAACTGCTTACTGCACCACGTCAAATCTCTATGGACACACGGTTTGGATGTAGACAATCAGCCATGGTCTGATGAAAAACGGTTGCAATTTTAGTCTGCGAAATGGGCATGTCGTCGACTGTGAATAGGTATCAAGTTTTTACTGTAGTCATGATCCTAATGTAGGCCCTTCAGCCTAGATTTTCCGTGGTTCAAGGTTCTCATCATGACCTTCCTTCGGTGACCTATTACCATAGTACGATTCACTTTTTAACACTTTATGTCACGTGACATCTTCCTCAGAAATTTGAAAAGATTGTGAAAATGTCCTGAGGCCTTTCCTGCAATTAGTCATTTTCAAAAAACGAATAAGACCACCCAACTGTCGCCTACAACGGGCCACGTGGGATTTTCGCTGGAGCAACACGCGGGCCAGTCCAGGCTACAGCACGCGTTATTTGGGCTGCGCGATATTAAAAAATTCCACTCATGGGAGTGTGCTTGACGACTGGTTGGCCGCGCCAGCCAACCGCGTCCAATCTCCGCATTAGATGGCTGACCAGCACGGACAGTGAACTGCTGCCTGAGAGAGGGAGGCGTAGGTGAGACTGACTCTGCAGATTGCGTCACCCCGGCACTCACTCGAAACAACCTGACACGCCTTTAAACTATCACAGGGGTGGGCTGAAGGTCGCCAACTGGTGGGATAACTCGGCTCCCCTCTCGGCACGGCGAAGCAGACGGCAATGGCTTCTTCGTTATGTCGATCCCACTCAGTTGGGATCTGAACCGTCCACACCTCTGTAGTTTTGACGAAAACCCCGTCCATCGTGAGCGGACCAGGCGTTTGTGGATCATACACGACGGACCAGCTGGACGACGACGACGACGACGACCTGATGGCTACGCAATTGCGCCTTCCTGTGCCAGAAACCCGGCAGACGTCTCTTCTCCAAAAGGGGCCAGCAACACAAGTCGGAAGGCAGTGAGACGCATATCATGACCAGTGAATGACCGTTGACATGTCTTTCCTCACCAGCGCGCAAATTGGTGCGCCTATCTACTTCTAGCCTGCATCTTAACCAGAAACAACATCAAAAACGATAATAAATGACTAGTGAACTTTGTCCGTTGCAAGATGCGCCCATACTAAATTGGAGAAGTAAACGTCCGCAGTTTCATTTGGCTAGTTATTGCGACTACTGTGAACTAAGGAGTATGGCCAGTCGTAACTTCCTCAAAGCACATATTGTCTACAATCTGTACTATGCAAACCAGTCGTTTGTGTGTCACATTTCGGTGCGGGCATCATGGAAATATTTATGCTTAATGATATTTTTGATAAAAACGGTTGTCAAGTTATGCTGTTATATTATAAATTAAAACGTAAACAAACAGTGCAATTAACTCGATAATAGAACGTGCCAATTACAAAGACGTATTCCTGCAGATAGAATAAATTGATTGAGTGGGAGCGAATATGCCAGTCCCAGGTTCCTGTTTCAAAAAAAGATGAACACGCAGCCACCGGGACAGTACACATATTAGTCCGAGCTTTCGGTCTCGCAGAGGCATGGCTCATCAGCCGTCGTCAACACGTCATACCCAACCACAGGTCTGGATACCGTGGGATCCGAAACGAGGTTCTTAGGTTATTGAACGTCTAGTTGTCCGAATCTCCACCCAACCAGAATGATTGAGTCTCGCAGTGAAACACTTTCCTTGGCATTTCAACAAATAAGTGTTCGCTTATAACCTATGTGCAGTTTGGGCAAATCTTGGTGAAAATCCAGATATACATCTCGCCATCGGATAAATCATGGTGCTTGATTCTGTTCGCCGCTATCATATTTTTGGCCACTACAACAGGACACGAGATACAGTACGTGGGCTAATTCATGAAATGTCAACCGAAATTCGTTTTCGTTTCGAAAAGGTTAATGATATACGATTGTAAAACTCATCATCGTGCATCATAATTCTATAATAAATCAGTTATGATAGGATGCCGGCTTTCGAACGAACGTTTTTCCGGTAGCACGCAATTTTCTCATTGATTTTTGATGCCTTTGAAAATCCAGTGATATTTCATGGAAAACATACATAAAAATATTCATCCTTTTGCTCATTCGGTAAACAAGGACGTCTTCCTCCAAGTTTATACTTGAAGAAAGGGTATATTTTGATTTTAAAAAAATTTCTAATTGTGATATTTTAATACCGTGAACGGCAATTCATAAAACGTCATGTCTCTGCATTTACCGATGTGGCTTGTAAAGTTCACAGTATGGCTCATATCCACTGCTAAATTTAACGAAATCCATATGGTCTCCTGTTGATGCCGTAGAAAAATGTGTGGTTTTACGTACGCGGAAAATATACGGTTTGTAGTTTGGAAACCCTGAATGCAAGTGTAACGGTGGGTCGCTCTGAGAAACTGACCCCATGAGTGGGTTCACCAACCATATTCAGGTATTTTCTCCTATGAACAACTGGTCACTAAGTCAACCTGCTTATCTTCCTGAAAAATCACAACGTGATCTTGGAGCACACCCTACGTGACAAAAGTTTGTAGAGTTCATCTCTTAGTGTACGGCTGATTACAGTGGTGTTTTGATCAGTCCAGTTTATTTGAGGGACACGCGGTTACGTACGCATCTTTGAATTCCAAAATTGTTACACGCTGTCTAAGAATGCCGAAGAGTTTGAAAAGCGGTACCATTAAATTACTAAATAGGAGGAAACCCAAGGGTTGTGAGCGTTGCAGGCGACGAAAGCTTGCGCAGGCATGGCTGTTGGTAGACTTGATTGAGCAGTAAACACCTCACACCGTTCTCATATGCATGAGAGTGCTGTGTGAGGAGCTGTATCGGCCCGGCCCCCAGTCCAGCAGTCCGACTCTCCACACATCACACACACACAACTGGACGGACTGCGTGAACTGAATTGGGGCGTCAATCATCAGCCTTCCTATCCGCGACGCTTGACGAGTCGGGATGGTCTTAGGCTCGAGTCACCCATACAGGAGGAGCCACATGGAGACCGAGTCTAGGCGCACACTTCCCACTTGCGGGGGAGGTGGCAGTTGGGCGCTTGCGGTGAGTGATGTGGATCTGTGGTGGGATGGTGGTGAGGGGTGATCTGATGATTTGGTGCAGCTGGCGGCTGTTTACCGCAGGTTTTCGTGGATGCGCATGTGGTCGAATAGACCCACGCGGTGCATGAATGTGAGGGGGCAGTGTGGACAGTGGAGGTGGGTGCGGCGGGTGTAGGTAGGTGCTTCAGGTCCTGGTTCGCCAGTCTCTGTGCGATGGATTCGTTAATGACCGACCAGGCCGATACGTGAGGTGAAGGTGCTGTCGCGGTGAGGACAGGTGAAGTCCCGGTCCTCAACGCTGGTGTCGACCGTGGTGGTGTTGGTGTTTGCGTTGTAGCAGGATTGTGTGCAGTGTTGATGTGCATGTCAGACGCCACAACGGCAGAGGGAAGGGGGCGATGGAAGAAGAGGAGGTGGTGGTGGCGGCGGCGGCGGCGGCGGCGGTGATGGTGGTGGTGGAGGAGGAGGGGAATGGAAATCGTGGTTCAGAAGAGCGGTCAGAGTAAATTGACGGCGGAGAGGACGAGCAAGAGGCGAACGGAGGGACGACGGGTTGTGCCGTCTGAGCGATGCAGTTGATCCGGAATGTCAGTTGTCCCCGTGGACACGTTGGTGGCGGTTGTGCGTTGTCGTGATTTGCGTGCTTCACGTTTAACTTTGGTGGCGGCGATGCGGTTGTCCTCGTACATCACAGCGCCTGTCTTCACTGTCCTCCTCCAAGTCGCTCGGTCGTGGGCGAGGTCTTCCAAGTTGGTCGGGTTTATTTGCAGACGCTTCAGGGAGGATTTCAGGGTATCCTTGTAGCGACGAATTTGACGTCCTTGGCGGCGGGAACCCGCGGCGATGTCTCCATAGAAGAGTCGTTTAGGTAGCCTCGCGTAGTCCATCCGCACCAGATGGCCGCTACAACGCAGCTGCAGTTGTATCAGCGTGGTGTAAACGTTGAGAATTCCCGTCCTTTCCAGTACATCGGTGTCGGGGATTCCGGTTCTGCCACCTCAGCTTCAAAATGCGAAGAGGACAACTGACGTGGAAGTGGTTGAGTCGGCGTACCTGCTTCGTGTACACCGTCCAAGTCTCTGCTTCGTACAACAACGTCGTGAGGATGACTGCCTTGTACATCTTAAGCTTTGTGCTGAACTGGAGACCATGACTGTGCGTCGAAGGCGGCCGAAGGCTTGACTGGCTTTCGAAATCCTGCGAGCGACTTCGTCATCGATTTTAGTGCTGCGGGAGAGGGTACTGCCCAGGTACGGGAAGTTCTCCACCATTTGCAGTTGGGTTCCGTTCACGCTGATCTGTGGAGCATTGTGGGGAGAGGCTGTGTTGGGTGGCGGTTGGTGCATGATCACAGTCTTCTCCGTGTTGATGACCAGACCGAAGTTCTCGCCGGCGACGGAGGTGGCGCTGAGGACGCAGTCGTCGGCGAAGAGGAGTTTGTGGACGGTGGTTGTGGATACGCGCGATTGAGGAATTGACAACTGGTCTTACTCCTTAATTCTGTATCAGCGTAATAGCCTGCCATATATGCCGCGTATAATACTTCCGCTCGAGAGTGAACACACCTTCCGCTCGTAAAAGGAAGATTCCGAGTCAACGACCATGCCCAATCCATTCCCAACAGCACGCTTAGTTTGCGTTTGTGAGTGATATATTGTGGCCTTTAAACAACCTTTCGGCAGACATACAAATTATCACCATATGTGGTATAAGCAGCTGGACGAAATACGCAAAACCGTTGAACGCTGTTAATGTCATTTGATGCTCTTTATCTGGCTCGTCCTGTCAAACTTCGGGAGAAGAAGTTCCTCCGTAAGAATTCGTTCGAGAACAATTTGACGGAACCTGTTCCTTCCACGCTGGCTTAAGATATGACGAGGTCATGCAGACGGCAGCCAATCCAATGATCCACTAATGTTTCTTCGTCGTCCAAGTGCAGGAGGGAATCAACCTGATCACGACAATCGATCTGACTTTTTCTGGTGTTTAAATTAATACCCAGTATATGGTATGCACTTTATATGATGACTATTCATTCACCGGCTGAAACTGCAATGTATGAAATTCGTGATGTGGAATGCTATGAGTGCTCTGTCGGTTGGTTTTGATCTAGGCATCATAGAGCACAGGTAGAAAGACGAGAGAATTAAATCCAAAAACTGAACAGATGAATGTTGTCCCCGAGTAAAAGGTAGAATCGTCACACTACGTGGAAATGTTGTGTTGAGATTTATCAAAATGACATCCCGGCATGACCGACGAAATCCACTGGGTCTGCGATGCCTATGGACATTGTTCATATTTATCACTCGGTTTGTGGTCTTTTATGGCTAATTTTCATTGTAATGGAATCAGACGCCAAGCAAATTTGAGTGATCAGACAGACAAATGAAGCCATGCCAAAAGAACTGGATGACGGGACTTGTAATGATGTCAAGTCAGAATCAGTATGTTATGAATTACAAGGGCAAAACACGCAGACAATAATCTCTCCAGATGTTTCGGATTCTCACTTGAACCCCTCATCAGAGACAGTGGTAGAAACGGGTGACTCGTGCATAGTAAGTTGCAGTATTTATAGGATGCAGTAGCTATGCTACCGCATACCTATATTAATTAACAGCGCTCCTCTTACTATAGGTATGCGATAGCATAGTGATTGCATCCTATGTATACTGCAATTTCCTGTGCACGAGTCACCGGTTTCTGCCACTGTCTCTGATGGTGGGTTCAAGTGAGAATCCAAAATGTCAGACGAATAAAACTCTTGTTCCAGTGTTCGTTTCTTCTTCTTCTCCTTCCTCTTCTTCTTCCTATCAACTAGTTCCTGGAAATCGCATCTTTGCTTGTATCGGCAATTTGTTTGGGCGCGACGCTCTCCGATCGGCCGGACCATGGGAAACGTTTGCCCATCAAGAGGCCTCTACTTATGCCCAGATCCGGTTTCTGCGCAGGTGTTGCATAAGTGTGTTTCATACAAACCCCTGATAAACACGGAGCTGACGAGACGCGCAGTATTTCAGCACGGAAGACGTATAATCCGCGTGCCCCTCCAAGACTGCCATGCCAGACTTCGCAAATACCGTCAGAGAATTGACCAAGAGAAGGCCAGATGCTGCGAGTTCATGGGCGAGAACGGCACAAATCTGCTTCAGCAGTAAGTGACTGAACGAGCCCGCGAGCAGAGAGCGACACGCGATGCAACACTGGGGAACAAATTCCACAAACTGCCTGATCCAACGTCATCCAGAGGCGGCACACTGGTACACAACCTGTCGTCAAAGGAACTGACGAAGGAGCAAGTACAGGTTTTATGACATTAAGCCTCATTCAACACAGCTGACGCCAAACCTGTCAACATGATTGCAGCCGTGGAATCGGTCATTAATCAGACGGAAGTGGCGGAGGAGACAAAAAACCTTATCCGACACCGAGCGTCGTCCCCACTTATGGCTCACAAGTCGCGCGAAATACTCCCAAAGGTCTAAGGCGATGCACAAAGACAACCCAAGGCCGACAAGAACATCGTCATTGTGCCCGCGGACAAAGGGCGTTCTACCGTCGTACTGGACAGAACAGACTACCTTCAGAAAGCCAAAAACCTACTGTAGGATTGCCAGTTTTATGTCACATGTGAAACCAACCCCGTAAAGACGCTGACACGCGAAATGAATGCGACGCTGTTGGCACTGGAGAACACCGACAGACCGGCACATGGCGAGAGCTCAAGAAAAGGCCTTGGCCAGGTTCTATGGTCTCCCTAACGTGCACAAGGAGGGTGCTGGCAAAATGGCTGTCCCGGCGACTCAAATTTCTGACCACTGATCCGGACACAACTGTCAATTCGTCAACACAATTCCTGGAGAAGGTTAAAGGAGTAAGTCTCTTGCCAATTGAGGTCATGGTATCTTTTGATGTCACGTCCCTCTTTATTGCTATCCCCCAGGATCTGGCAATGGAGACCGTCGAGCTACTCCTACGAAGCAAATACAATAAAACTGAGAATCATCTCGGACATGCCCAAATTATCCAGCTCCTAAAGTTCTGTCTCAGGACGTACTTCACGTTTGACGGAACAATATATGAGCGTGTGAAGGTAACACCAATGGACTCGCTAATTTCGGGATTCATAGCCGAGGCGGTCCTACAGCGGTTAGAGTCGCTAGTCTTCCAACACCACAGACCGAAATTCTGGGTTCGGTATGTGGACGATACCTTCGTCGTTATCGAACGGAATCAAGTGTTAACGTCCAAAGAACGTCTCAACAGCGTCTTCCCGGACATACAATTAACGATGGAGGAGGTGGAAAATAACCAGCTGGCATTCCTTGATGTCCTCGTCTGTCGCAAATATTGTGGTGGCCTAAAGACGAAAGTGTTCAGGAAATTGACGAATAAGATGCAAGTACTAAACCTCAACAGCAACCACCCAATCGGCCACAAACGCAGCTGCTTAAGAACGCTATATTGGCGTGCTGAGACGCACTGCAGTGGACAGGAAGACAAGGTTGCCGACTCCCAATATCTTCGACGGGTCTTCAGAGAAAATGGTTACCCGCGCAACTTCGTCAACCGGTGCATGCGCGATCGAGACGAGCGACAAAATCGTGCCGAACCCAAATGCTGGCGAGCGATCCCGTACATCAAGAACGTCTTCGAGGTCGTTAGTCGCCCTCTCGCACTACTTGGGGTTGGAGTTGAACACAGACCGAAGATGATGAGACCAAAAAACCCACTGCCACGGCAGGAAACATCTGGAGTCGTTTACCGGCTCTGGTGCAGTTGCGGACAAAGTAACTACGTCGGAGAAACTGGAAGACTGCTCCAGACGCGAATTTCCGAACACGCGGCAGCGGTACGGAGAAATGACTCCAACACTCAGGTCGTGGTCCCTTCGACGAGACCCGGCCACACATTCAAGTTCGATGAGGCCGAAATTCTCGCGAGAGGGGATAATCGTGTGAGCCGCGATTTGATTGAGTCATGGTTCACGGGACCTCAATCTATCAACAAGTGCAACGATATTCTCACTCCATAGCCTGGCCAAGGTAATTGACTGTGGCAGTTCGCGTATCCTCGCCATCCGCCTTCGTCACGCTGCCGTCCTGTCCGCCTCACACTCCATGTCGATAAGCTGCTGGGACGCGCGAGTGCTCGCAGCCAATCAACTCTGTCCCCAAACTGATTGGCTGGCGACGTGGAGACAACGAAGGCCGCACACACGCGCTGAGAACATCCCGAAGGCGGACACAGACAACAGCTTGCTTTGAGCGCGCTCGCGGCGACTGCCTACAAGGCCCTTGTGTACGCACTTCCTCGGGCAGTAAAGGTTGTCCAACTCAAACCGTCTTCCCTGACTTTTGATTGGGAATCTTTATCTTGTCGCCCTCACAAAATTCGGCAATTGGTGACCCCCTTTCGAACAGCAATCTTTCTTCCTAATCTACGGTAAAGCTAGGCGTTGATGATGGACAACTTTCCACCGGAAGTGCAGCATATTTTGGCACCCGCCTTCGGCATTCTTTCGGCAACGCAACTTTCTCAGATGGCTGATCGTCTTATGGAGATGCACGGTCACACATTCAAGCTCGATGAGACCGTCATTCTCGCGTGAGCCGCGTGTTGCTTGAGTCATGGTTCACGTGATCTCAGTCCATTAACAAGTGCAACGACATCTGCACTCCATATTCCGTGCTGAGGTATAGGCTGGCCAAAGTAATTGACCACTCGGAGAGCGCGTAAGCCGGAGAACCGGACGGCCGAGCAGTCATCACGCCAGCATTCGCCACGGGTGATGAGATTTCAGCAATTAACAACTTGCATGCAGGCCATCAAGCAATAAGGGCACCAGCGGGCAACAGTCCTTGATGAAGGGGAGCGCGGTTTAATACTATGGGTATGTGGTAGTATAGCGACTGCATCCTATAAATACTGCAACTTCCTGTGCACGAGTCACCCTTTTCTGCCACTGTCTCTGATGATGGGTTCAAGTGAGAATCCGAAACGTCGGACGAATAAAGCCCTTGCTACAGCGATCGCTTCTACTTCTGTACAACGTCGCTCCTTACCATTACCTACAGCACACATGACCACACCAAACATCACGCAATGCAAGCACGCATTTGGTATCTCTCCCACAAGTTGGAAGTGTGTTCCTCGACTCATTCTCCATGTGACCCCTCTGCTGTATAGGTGATCAGAGCCATAGACTGTCACTGGGCGTTTAGCGGCATGGTTTGGAAGGTTACCAAGTGATGAATGAATTCAGGTCACACAGTCAGTCCACTGTGTGTTTTTGTCAACTGGCCGACTGTTGGACTGAGAGTCAGGCTACAATGCCCACTTCGAAATGTGAACTTTTGTACTCACACGTACGTGAGATCCATGCTGCCCAAGTCCTGCTGAGTGAAATCCTGGTGCTTGTATTGAGGACGTGGGGGAGGGGGCAGTTCATGTTTGTGGTACGCTCAGACGAGGTTCCTAGACGAGGGTTTCACCCACTGTGCCCATTCTCCATACTAGACATCTGACCGTGTCGGATGGTGGACTGATGCTTGTTAATGGGAATAGAGTGTGAGATCGACGACTCGGCGCACTTTCCTCGCTATGAAAAATCTGACCCACTCAAAGCTATCAGGGTGCGCTAAAAGTCGTGGCTTGGAAGATTGCCAATTGACGGAATGACTTGGACCTCGCAGTCAGCCAAGGAGGGACTTGTGTGGACTGGCCGACTGGCGGACGTAGAGTCAAGCTGCAAGGGCACGGTCCTAACGTGGCCTCTATGGCACCCCCACGCCGTGGGATCCGAACGTCCCCTCCCCTCTCCTCTTGTTGTGTAAAATTCCAGCAGTGTTCAACGTAGAACTAGAGGAGTGGTGCTGCGACTAGGTGCGGGTTTACGACGTGCCGGTCACCTGCGTCCTCTTCCATCTTTGGGCATCTTGACTCTGGCTTGACACATGGACCAGGTGAGGGGGGAGGAGAGAGTGTGCTAGATGCTGTGTAGGTCTGCTGTCACTGCAAACTAATTCACGCACAAGTCAGCGTATCCGCGCCCAATCCATTGTGGTGCCTACGGTGGACATCGTCAGACTCGACGGTCAAGCAGACAGATCTGAGTTTGAAAAAGCTGTGGCCTGCAATTTCTACATTGCCGTTTTCTCGGTCTTGACCCCGGACCCAGGTGAGGGAGGAGGAGAGGGTGTGCTAGGTGCTACGTAAGTCCTCTGTAACTGCAAACGAATTCACGTGCTGATCACCTTCTGTGGTGCCTACGGTGGACATTGTCAGAGTTGACGGTCAAATTGTCTCATCTGAGTTTTGAAAAATAGTGACCTTCAATTTCTACATTCCCGTTTCCTCCACCTAGTCAGCCGATTCGTCGATCCGGCGCCGGCGTACAGAGCCCTGCGCAGTCACCTCCAATCTTGTGCCATCGGTCGATGATTAGCTTTCACACCCTATAACTGTCGCTTGTTCTGCTGCTGCTGTTACTACCTCTGACGATGGACTCCTGCACGAGTCTTTGGTCTTTCATTAGTCGTCATAAAAGCTGAATCAAACGCAACTGTCACAGGTGGCGCCTACTAAACAGAGAAGTGTCCCGAAATTTTATAAGCCCTGCACTTAGGTGGGTCACCGTGCATCAGACAAAGAGGCGTGGCGCACTGCCCACAGACTGAAACTTCATAAGCACCTCCACCACCACCGATATGTAAGCAATTCCAACCGAAAAGGTAATAAGTGGCAGCAAATATATTTTAACAAAAGACAGAATGCGTGGCTTCACTCGTTTAAAAGGAATCACACTGTTGATGAGTCTTCCTGCTTGGAGTATTTCAAATAACACACCGGGCAGAAAAATTGGACACAAGTGAATGCCTCAAAACGGACAGCAGATTTATTTTGACCTCCTCTGGCAACCCGAGGCTGTAGTAGAATTCATGGCAGTGGATTGTGTGTTGGGGAAATGCAAGTCCAGAGGAAACACGCAGACGGCGCCTGCCCCGGAGATGACGGACGAGCGCGGTGATTTGCACTGGGATGTTGTGGTAAATGAAAATGTTCCTGCTAACTTCACTGAATCCTTCAAGCTGAAAGGAGCTCATATATTCGAAGAAAAGGATACACGCACCTGACAGATGAGGCTTACATTTGCGAAGTCAATATGCATTTGGCAAAGGTGCTGAGAATTCGAATTTTGCTGTTCTGTTATAACCATGTCGCAGCTACTATTGATGCTGAACTGAAGGCCTTCAAGACGAATTTGGCAACCAGGTCCATCCGCTATTTTGATTTTGATGTATTTTGCTGAGGAAGAAGACATGTATGATTGCACAACCGCTGCCAGATCGTCCGTCACTTGGAAGGGGCACGAATCTGCGAGGATGAAGTGGGCACATAATTAGACTAGTCAATGATGAGAGGGCTCCCATGGGGCGTTATATGCCCCCCTTTCGTCTAACCTTCGAAGCAGTTTGGGCAAACTATCCGAACCCCTTATTTTGGAAGTAATGTCCATTGTTGAGCGGCATTATTTGACTTTTTGCATTCTCGTGGAAATAACTAAAAAGATAATTCTGAATCTGCGAATGAACTGTTTATAAGTTTGATTGGATTGTGCAGAGGGTGACAGGCGAACATAAGTGGATTTACATAGTTTATTCTTGCATATGCCAATTGCGTGATGAAAAATATCACATAGTTAGGAGAAAATGATAGTGAAAGCTGAGGTTTTCAACTACCCCAAAACTTACCTTTATAGTTAAGGCAACCCAATGCCAGGGACGCGTAAAACCATAGTGCGGTGAAGAAGGCAGGCAACATTTTCAAATGGGTTGCTGAGGCTGGCTATTCACATAAATATGTGAAGATTCCAGGTGCGGATATATTACCGTGTTGTTTTCTTCGGAGGATGATAGAAATGATATATATATATATATATATATATATATATATATATATATATGTGTATGTATGTGCGTGTGTGTGTGTGTAAATCACCCCAGCAAGTCTACTGACCTGATGCCGTCGGTTATTGTGAGGTTGTGGGTGGCTACACACTATCGGCCTATACCTAGTTTCACGTGTGTTGAACTTACATCAGCTAGGGGGAAGATTGTAAACATCTCGCACAGAATTGATGGGGATCATGAAGTTATTGCTTTTTTGTCAATCAATCCGCAGACAGTCTTGTGCGCATTAATATTTGCTTGATTGACTTTTCGGAAATCCAGCAAGAATTTTTGCAATCAATATCTGGTCTGTCACTCTCTCTGGTGATGTTTTCGAGTGAGAACCTGAAACGGCAGGCGGATAAAGCTGTTTTTCCAGCGGTCACTTATACTTCTTATCAAATAACACGCCTGTTCCCGGGCAACTCCCCGTCTCCGGGACCACTCTGTTGTGGTGCATATGACAGGCATCGTCAGAGTCGAGGGTCAAACTAGCACTATGCTCCTAGGACCATTGGACGTGGACTATGTTCATGGCAAGTTTAAGGTACAGATGTATATTTCCAGCTAACGCAATGCAGAAGCAGATGCCGTGAAGTGGTGGAAAGGAAAGTTGAATGTCACCTAAACTGAACTGAATTGATTAGGAGGAAGATGAAGCGTTCAAAACTGGTAGAGTTTCCGATGGTTTTTTGTATGTTCACTTTTTTTACCAAATATCAACAAGCACAGAAAAGTTCTGTACTGACAATGCCGTTACTAATATGTTATAATATTAACAAGGACTTTCGCAGTGGATATTGATTTTTTTAAACTCTCTGCCCAGACAATTGAGACCGAAGTAGCTGATGCTACTGACGGCTAAATTGCATGTGCTTGTCTCAACTGACACCAGCGCTTATGTGTGTGAGTCCACGCTGGCACGAATGCGGCAAGTTCAATGAAACTTGCTGCGGCTATTGTTGTTGTCGCTGTTGTGAGGTCAAGTGTGTTGGCCCGCCAGACGTGCTGACCGCACAATCAAGTCCACCAACAGCCCAGCATTCAGAAACGGTCACTGAATTCAGGCTCCTACAAAACGCGGAGGCACGCATATGTGCCCAACATGTCGCCAACTAAGTCAACTCAAACCCGCGCATTATGCCGCGCGACGTAGTTGACTGGCTGAAAATCTATCAGAGATTCCGAGCCTACGAATTCAAACGCATTCCGAACTATCTCGGATAGGCCAACATTGTACCGGGGAGCGTATAAAAAGCCCTGTTATAAATATGCCGGCTAGATCGCAGTTGGTAGCCAGGCCCATATTAAGGGTGGCGGGGGGTTTGTTTATTGGGGCTATTTTTTGGGGTTCCATAATCGCATCTGACCCATTTGGCTTCCGTTTTACGTTTGAGGTTAGGATTAGGATACCGGTTAATGGTTCCCGATTTTCGGGTTAGGGTTATGCATTTAGGCTTAGGTTTTCGGGTTACGGGTAGGGTTTGAGCGCACGATTAGGTTTCAGTATTACGGTCGGGTTTTTCAGTTACGGCTATGTCCAAGGGCTACGCTTCCGTTTACAATTTCGGTTAGGGTTAGGATTGGGATTGTCGTTAGGGTTAACGGTTAACGTTTAAGGTTGAGGTTAGGGTTAAGGTTAGGGTTAGGGTTAAGGTCGCCGTCCGATTCCCCATTCCTGGCTACCAACTGCGACCTAGCCAATTTGCCGAACAAACGATAAGATTTTCTAGTCTGACGTCTTTAACTTATAGATTCATTGAAACTGCCACAACGAGTTTGCCTAAAATTTATGAGACATGGGGCGCACCCTTCCGACCTGACTAGTTCGTGCAGTACACAATTTGGCACTATTTCCCGGTAGACGGAGAACGCCATTTCCGTAAAGTACTAAACTACAAAGTAGCTGCAAATGTCATGCTCGGCCTGTAGATACGATCGATGACCAAATCATTTTTCTGAGGAACGTGTATTCAGAGCTATTCTTCAAAGACAGAGCCAGATAACGGAAGTGGATAACCTATGTATTGCAGTGCTTATGTTATACAATTGCTAGGCCGCCACATATCTGTCACAGTCGGCAGCTCTCGACGACATGTAGGCCCGACTAATCAGATGATACAGTGTACGATCGCCATGCAGTTGCTATGCTCCTGCGCGCTGGTCAAAATCATCGGCTCTCGCGCTCATCGCTCGCAGTTGACGAAGTTGCGCGGGTAGCCATTAGCTCTAAGCACCCGTCGAAGATATTGTAATCCAGCAGCCTTGTCCTTCCCGTTCACTGCAGTGTACTTCCACACATCGGCATAGCGTCCTGACGAAATTGAGCCTGTTGCTAATTGAGTGGTTGCTGTTGTAGCTCAGTACTTGTGTCCTGTTTGTCTCTTCCCTGAGCATTTTGGTTTTAATGCCGCCGCAATTTCTGCGGCAGACGAGGACATCAGGAAGGCCAGCTAGTTGTCTGCTTCTTCCTCCATCGCAAATTCTATGTCCGCGTCAACGGCGTTGAGACGTTCTTTGAAAGCTAGCACCTGCTCCCGTTCAATGACGACGAAGTTATGACCTACAGGCTGAGCCCAGAATGTTGATCTGTGGTGTCGGAAGACTAGCGACTCCACCATTTTATCCAAGAGTCTCGAATCGTAGATTGTTCTGTCAAACCTGAAGTACGTTTTGAGACCGAATTTCAGCAGTTGGAGGATTTAGGCCTGTCCGAGGCGTTTCTCCCTTTGATCGTGTTAGTCTCTCAGGTGTAATTCGATGTAATCGACTGCCAGGTTAAGCGGACTAGAAATAATAAGGGACGTGACGTCAAAGGATACCATGACGTCACATGGCAAGGGACTTACCCAAGGATACTGTTGAAGAACTGACTGTAGTGTCCGAATTTGCGGTCAGAAATTAGAGACAGCGAAGCAACCATTTTGCTAGTCCATAGGCTGCAGTACCTTTGAGTGATACGATGGGTCGGAGTGGGACACCCACTTTGCGCACCTTGGAATGACCATAGAATCGGGCAAAAGCCATGTCCTGGGCTCTCGCCATGCGTCTGTCAACAGGCGATATTGCACCTGAGTTCTTTACATCCGACAGCATCGCATAGATTTCTCGTGTCAGCATTTTTTCGAGGTTGGTTGCGCACGGACCGCATGACTGGCAACTCTCCAGTAAACGTTTGACATTTTGAAGGTAATCTGTCCCGTCCAAAACAACCATGAAACGGCCCCTGTCCACAGACACGATAACGAGACATTTGTCGGCCTTGAGTTCCCCGGGTGCAGCACTTTCCACCTTGGGCAGCATTTCGCGCGGCCTGTGAACCATAAGAAGAGAGGAAATTTGGTGTCGGATGAGCCTTTTGCACTCGTCTGTCGACTCCGTCTGACTGAGGTTTGATTCCAACGCTGCAGTTACATTGGCAGGTTTGGCATCAGCTGTGTTTAATAAAGCTTCAGACCGCAACACCAGCTGAATGATTTTGCTTAAGCGGAAATTATACAGCTTACAGTTTAGAAACCTTGAATGCAGATGTAAAGGCAGGCCGGTTTCTATATTATTCAGAAATCGGAAAAGCTTTAAAAACAAATTATGCTATTCCTTTGAGTGTAGAATCTAAAGAAGACATAATTATCTGCAAAATGAATGAAAGAACGATTGCTTTCTATGCATATTTTCTGTAAGATATGTCTGGATTCATAAGGACATCGAAAATCAATGAGAAATACTCACATTACAAAAGTAGTGATTTTTGCAGAGTATAGTTTATGCAGACGGTCAGAAAGAAGCTGGTCTAAGGGTCGCATTGTGACATAGCTATTTATCATGGGATCATGCTTCACGGTAATTAATCTAACAACTCTACTTTACTTATTTTTTAGAATCAAAAACATACTTCAGAGTTACTGTTAATGCAACTGAAGTGTCTAGTGTTTTTCTTGCTCCATCAACGGATATTTTACTTGAAGAAGGATCCTCTTCCGGTTTTTGAAACTTGCCGTCAGGGGATGGTTTATTATTCTGGCGGAGCGGGCTTAACACACATAAATACCTACTAGATTTGCATAAGTAGGCGGTGTTCTGTATACCTTTTGCTTGCCCACCAGTCACGCCCTAACTTGATCACTTACACAGAACAGCCTACCGCGACCAATTCCTGTACATCTGCAAGATACGGTCAAGCCCACCACATAAAGCAATCACAGGCAAAGCAGTTTGAATTAATTTTATGCAAAAGAATTTACCTACATGTTGGAAAATTCAAGTGTGGGATTCGATTCCAAGACTTTAACTTCTGTAACTCTTCTCCATTGAATTAATTACTTGCATTGTTTCCTTCACCGCTATGGACAAGTCACGCAGAGGTCGCCCAGCTTCCAAACTGGCTGGCGCCGACGCTCTGCGTTTTAGGGGGTAAATGAAATTGGGCTCAGTGTAGGGATTGCCGACATTTGCTTTTGCTTGGATTAAATGACAATTATTTACACCTACCGACTCATCTGAATTTTATTCTACGCCATATCCAACTTTTTGCTTATGCTCGATTGCAATTACCACCATAGAAAGAGGGTGGAGAATAACTCGCTTTATTTTGAAAGCATATTATCAAAATTGGCAACACACTGTGGGCATCGTCAGAATCAACGCCCGGTCTGTCGGACGCCATACGAGTTTACACACAATTAAAAGTTAAAGTGTTTTTACGGAAAGGAACAAATACTAGGGGCGGGCAATTCAAGTCTTAGTTTCTGTGTTTCAGTCTCCTTACGCGTGAGATAGCATGCCACGTGGTACTTAGGACAAAAATTGGTGGATTTTTAGGAAAAGTTGTGATACTTGCTGTGTGTCAGGCGCGAGGGATCTTGGACCCCATAGAAGACATATCAATAAGGTGCGTCAAAACAGGGACTATCTGAGAACAGCAAGAGTAAAGGAGAAAACGTTGAGACACTAGCCGGTCCAGCAGCTTTTGATCCCAGGCCCTTTCTAAAGCGCTCCTCTGCTGTCGCCACAAACGCAGGCGAGAAGACACATGGTAGTAAGAAATACTATTTGAGGGAAGAAAGGTGCCATTGCGAGTTAAAATGAAATTTCTGATTGAAGGCTCTAACTCGGCATCTACATGAGCCAGTGTGCTACGATGGCAGTTGAGACGCTTATAGTTCCTCCAATTTTCAACTGATGAAGGATACCAAGCAGTGGAGGAAGAAAAGGCAATAAGCTCACTAATAAACCTGCCATTTAGTCTGGCAATGTCTTTTTTCATTAGGATAGTAACGTCCTCAAGGCTGTCACATCAGCCTGGCCTGTAGGGGCTTTCCTATTTGCGTCTTAAGAATGTTAGATGGGGAGAAGAAATTCTATCCGGTCTCACCATAACATTATCAAGAGGACAGCAAGTATCAAAAAATTCATTTAGAAATGTTATAAGACGGTTTGAGCACGATTACAATTTCGATTTTTAGAGGAAAGCGGGGATAGTGCAGAATATGCAAGTCTGAAGTATGTAAATGCTTTGGGGGTACGTGATGCGAATCTTGTTCTTTCTTTCAGGTTTGATTATCAGCTTACGATTAGAGATCGAATAGATTTTTAGAAGAGCATTATAACATGGAACGATCTGGCTCTAACAACGAGTTCTGTTTTTAACAGAAATGTTTGCAGTGATTGGTCAAAATGTGATCGAGTGGGGCATCAGCGCGAGTATTGGAGGAGACAAGAGCATCAAGGCTTAAAAGTTTGAGGAGACGTATGTTCACGTGGTTAAAATCGCCGCAGAAGTGAGTAAGATGCTCGCAGGACAATATACCAAATCTTTATGAAATAAAGTCGAAAAAGCGGTCTAGAGCACCTTCACAGATTGAGGGAGGAATATAAGTACAGACAACTATAATGACTTTATAAGTATTTAATAACCGAACGTTGCAGATAACAACGATCACTTCTATAAAATCATCAGAGTAAGAAAATAAGGACTAGCAATCCCTGCACGAACTCTGGCTGGCAAAAATATCACCCCGTTAGGTATATTCAGAGTATATTCAGGTGCCCCTGTGGCAGGTAATACGAAGAGAAGTCCTGAAACATATGAATAGATTTCAACGAGGACTACTGCAAAAAGTACTTACTTCTCCACGTTAAATCTCTATGGGCATGGGTGTTGGAAATAGACAAACAGCCATGGTCTGATGCAATTTGGTTGCCATTTGGGTCTGCAAAATGTGCATGTAGTTCATGAGGGTTAGGTCGACTGTGAATTGGTGTCGCCGTCCATGAGTTGGGGAACAGACTGTGGACATTGTCGTTTGCCACGGTGAAGATGGGGTTCCGCCTTACTGAATAGTTTGCTCCTTACAGATGCAAGATCGAATTATAGGACATTTCGACCAACTCTTTTTACCTTCAACTATAAGGCGAGACCAGAATTTGTGAGGTTCGAAGTTATGAGATCACTGGCTGCAAATATCACCGCAATTGCCACCCAGAACTTACTATACTCCGCAAGATCCAAGCGTTTATAACCACAGGGTTGCCCTGCTTGTTAGAGGCATAGATATTCAACAGCGCGCACCTAGCCGTTGTTCAGTTCAGTTTTACTGAGGGAAATGTAGGTCTTCACCTCTGAACTCCCTATTTGTTTACAAGCTGTAAAATCTCAAAAACTGGAAAAGGTATCATAAAGGTAACAGATAATCGGAAAAGCGTCAACTACGTACAGATAAACAAACTGTCTCGAATGTTAGTGGTACGAACAGTAGTACAGGGGTCGTTTCGAGTGCAGGAAAATAAACAATATACCCGGTGACAAAAGTTGCATAGGTGAATGTCATTAAGCGTAGGCGATGGGTTGGAGACAATAAGAAAGTCAAATTGAAATGATACTGAAACACAGTAAGTAGTATAATAACAACGGGATTGGCCAAGTTTACAGAGGTCGGACGGTAAGTTAGAGGACACTGCAACACACCTCTTCCCATCGTATAATTGTACCTGTTGCATTCAAATATCGCTTACGAATTCGGGATTTGTAATTCATTTTTTTGAAGACGTCCATCAGATCATCAGAGTAAGCAAATAAGAACTAACAGTCCCCGCACGAACTGTGATTATCAAAAATAGCACCCCGTTTGGTATATTCGGAAAGATGATTATTCCGTCGGTGCCCCTGTGGCAGTTAATACGAAGGCAAGTCCTGAAACGTATAAATAGTTTTCAAAGAGGACTACTGTAAAAACTACTTACTTCTCCACCTCAAATCTCTATGGACATGGGTGTTGGAAATAGACAAGCAGCCATGGTCTAATAAAATTCGTTTGCCATTTTAATCTGTGAAATGGCCATGTACTTCCTGAGGGTTAGGTCGACTGTGAATTGGTGTCGAGGTTATATTGTACTTATGAACCTAACGCACGCCGTTCAGTAGGGATCATATGGTGGCCCGTAGTTTTGTGTTCTCATCAAGACATTCCTTCGTTACCCGTTTGCCGTTCGGTTAATGAAAGCACCACTGACTTTTCAACATTTTAATGCCACGTAACAGACATTTGAAAAAGATCATGAAGATGCTCTGAGCTCTTTCCTGTAATTATTCTGATTCACTAAACAAACGCGATCACGCATTTGGCTCCAATGCCGCTTACTACGGCCACGCGGTAGTTGAGTTAGACCAATACGCGGGCCCCGTTATTTGGGCTGCGCGATATCAGCAAATGTCACAAATGGAGGTATGCTGGCTAGCAGGCCTTCATAAGTAGAGGGAGGAGTGTAAGTACTGACAAATATAATACCCTTAATAGTATTCAGAAAAATATCTGGAGTAAATGGTCAAAATGTGATCGAGGGGGGGGGGTCGTCAGCTCGATTACGGAAGGAGACAAGATCATCAGGGCTTATAATTAGGGGAGACGTACGTCTACGCAAAGTGACCATTTAGCTCAGTCAGTCACTGCGTCACATCCCGACTCCAGTCATCCTAACTCGGTCTCCACACCAGAACAGGGTGGGTAAGGAGGAGAGTGTGAAAGTCCATTATCACTATAATCTAGTCCACGCGTAATTCGCCGTCCATGAGCCGTGGAACGGACCGTGGACATTGTCGTTCGCGACGGTGGCAGGCTTGAGCCCCTTGTCTGTGTTAGGAAAATGATAAACCTACTTAGTCTCACTCACTTTCACGCTAAGAACGGGAGTACTTCTACTTTGAATATCATTTACAGAGGATCAAAAACAGGCCTAATGATGTGATAATCAACAAGCATATACAGAAAGTCCGTTGTGAGATTCGAATTAATTTTGAAAAAAGGAGTTCCGCCTTGCCGATTAACCCGTCTTTTCCAGATGCGTTATCGAATTATACGGCATTTGGATTAAAGAATTTTTTTAGCATTCAATCCCGGCAAACCTGCGCTTTTGATTTTTAATCAACTGGTCTGTACAATAATATAAGGGAAGGTAGATTATCAAAGGTTAAACAGCCAATAAAATTTATTGTGAGGGGAGTGGGTTGATGGGATCTCAGAAGAGAAGGGTGAGATTTCGGTCCTTTCATGGGCATAGGGAGGGGAATGGGGAAGGTGTCTGACAGGTAGCTGTTAATACTTCCTCGCTGTAAATAGAACGTGGCAGGATGTTCGAACACACTGCCAGGTCTGTCTTTGACTAGGGAAGACTTAGCGGTTGGATACCAGTGTCGCAACACTCCGTTACTGATGCTAGTATTATTGCAGTTAGTTACCCATACTGTAAGCGTTGGTGGAGTAGCATTGGCAGCCGTGGTGGCGGTGGTAGTAGTAGTAGTACTAATAGTAGGATTATTATTAGTATTCGCCGTATCAGTGGTGGTAGACGGGGGGAAAAGTTTTCTTCAGTGTTGCGACACTGTATTCCCGCCAGTGGTAGTAGTATTAGTAGTAACAGCGGTAGTAGTAATAGTAGTAGTAGCAGTAGTAGTGGTGGTGGTAGTAGTAGTAGTAGTAGTAGTAGTAGTAGTAGTGGTAGTAGTGGTAGTAGTAGTAGTAGTAGAAGTAGTAGTAGTAGTAGTAGTAGTAGTAGTAGTAGTAGTAGTAGTAGTAGTAGTAGTCCGCCCGTAAGACAGGCTGGTGGGGGAATAGACAATTCTAAGTGTTGCGACACTGTATTCCCGCCGACTTAGCGCTTGTACAAACGCCTAATGCGAGCACAGGGTTCGAGTTGACTAACCGTACGGCCACTGTCTCTGCCGTCGTACACATCCGCTGACTCAGGAACATGCTCTGTCTCATCGACACTTTATAGATCTTTGACATCTCCCCGGTGGCCGCTCTCAACCAAGGGATCCACGTTTGTGCTTGTTAGCGGTCGGTAACAACCGGGAGATGGCACCCAAAAAATCCGCCTAACTAAAGCAACCTGTCTTACGGGACAGGTGGTAATAGGGGTTTTATGGGTGGTGGCTGGTCGGGATGTACGATACTAGCCGACGGAAAGCCTTATTTGAACAGGTAAATGATCGAAGTTAGCCCACTCTCCGTTCCGTTATTACAAAATGGGTCGCCAAAGGCAGTATAGTCGTAACGGACGAGTGGAAGGCGTATAATGATCTTCCCTCAGAAGGTTATCTGCATTTCTCTGTTAAACACTCAAAGAACTTCAAGGACACTACCACCAGACGGCACGCCAATGTCATTGAGGCATACTAGAGTAGACTGAAGAGGAAACTCCACGAGGGAGACCCTGTATGTGGTCGAGCTGTGTGGACTCCCATAGACGAGGTACAGTATCGTCTTTGGTTTGGCCTCAATGCCATGTCTTTGACAGATGACTGGGAACTGTTCCTGTCCGATGTTGTGCAGACTTATCCTATTTAAAAGTGATTTTGTCTTGTTATAAACTGTCATAATGCGAATGTATGCCGTATATTCAGGTGTACGTGTGTAACGATGGGGAAGGTTGGGTAACAGCGACCATCGTCCATGTAACCTCCTGCGATGTTCGTTCGGCCAGCGCATGCCAGGCCGTCGGGGAAAGTCCAAGTAATGCGTGAAAGCAGGCCTGCAACCGCTGATATAGCTTGAAGGCGTTTGAGTCCACTGTTAAAGGTATTATTTCTAGGTAACGGATTTTTTGGGTGCCATCTCCCGATTGTTACCGATAGACCTCGTCAGATTTTGATTTAGCCATGAAGGATGGTGCTCTCGCATCCGCTTCGATGGGCGTCTAGTTGTTTTACCAATATAACCTGCTCTTCATGGTCGTATCCTAGCGGTTGTGTATGTGCACGCGATAGCAGAGTTTTTTATCTTCTGCTAGAAGGCGAGACACCAACTTGTGTGTTTCAAAGTCATAAGGCCACTGTCTGCAAATCCTACCGCAACTGCCACTCAGATAATTTTAACCTAGAATTCACTATACTACAAGATCCAGACATTTATAAACTACAGAGTTGCCCTGACTGCTAGAGGCATAACTTAGTAAGCAGCACGCAGCTTCTCGTTGTCTCCTGCAAGACATGCCTACCCATCATATATTTGTACAACTTGCGATACTACACCTGCTGCCTTCAAATACTGCCTGTACATACAAGCTTTGTAAGTCATTTTTTGTAACTGACACGTCCTATAATGCCGTTGATTGAATTGTTCGCCTTTATTGTTTCACAGCAATCCTGGCAGTCGTGCGTTATAGATTAACTATCACCAAACATCAACATTTCCGTGAATGACACACCCGAATAGCACACAAACACACACGACAGTTCGACCGTCGATTTCGACGATGTCCACCGTGTGCCCCACAGACTGCATTGTGGGAGCAGGGACGGTGACTTACGCAGGGGTTTATAGTGCCAGTAGACTTGCGTAGCACCTACCTACACTCTCTCCTCCTCCCCCGCCTGAGCCCGGTGAAAGACAGAGTCAAGAAGACCGGAGACGAGGGAGGCCGCAGGTGGATGGCTCGGACGGATCCTCACCTTGGCGTTCCACCACACCCCCTGGTCCACACAACAAATGACCAGGATTTCAACCAACACAGAAGAGATTTGGAGGCTGGCACGGCCGAAGCCGCACCTAGGCGTGCCGCCGACACCTGACTCGGATCCCACGCTGTGGTGGGAATGCCATAAAGGCCACATTAAAAAGGAGCCATTGCAGCCTGACTCTCAGACCGCCTCCCGTTAAGGAGGAGGTCCAAGGTAGCCCGTCAGTTGGCAACCTTCCAAGCCACGGCTTTTAGCGCACCGTGATAGCTTCAAGCGCGTCAGATTGATTATAGTGAGGAGAAATTGCGCTGAGTCGTCGACCTCATTCTCCCTTCCCATTCCCACACCCCAGCCGCTGTCCGAGCCGGTCGGCAAACTGGAGTGGGGAATGGGCGCGGTGGCTGACACGGTCGACTGACCATGCCTGCGCGCGCCACAGCACGACCTGGACCCCCATACACACAAACACCAGGATTTCACACAACGGGGGTTGAAAGGCGTAACTCTCACTTGTGTGCGAGGGCCGTGGAAGGTGCTGCTGGGGACACAAACACACACACACACACACACACACAAACACACACACGATTTGGAGTGTAGCGGCCGACAACGTAGAGGTTGACACACACACACACACATACACACACACTTGATAGTTCGACCTTCGATTTCGACGATGTCCACCGTGTGCCCCACAGCAGCAGCGGTGGGAGCAGGGACGGTGACTTGCGCAGGGGTTTATAGTGCCAGTTGACTTGCACGGCATCTACCTACACTCTCTCCTCCTCCCCCGACTGAGCCCGGTGTCAAGACAAAGTCAAGAAGACCGGAGACGAGGGAGGCCGCAGGTGGATGGCTTGAACGGATCCTCGCCTTGGCTCTCCACTCCGCATCCCCTGGTCAACACACAAATGACCAGGATTTTACCGCCACAACAATGGAGAGCGTGGCAGTGATCTCAGTTGTGTCACGGCTGACGACAACAGGGAATGCCAGCGCACTCCCTTGATGTTGGCATTTGCTATTGCGCACAGATCGCGCCTGCCAGAATCCGATGTGGCCCCCGTGTTGGTCCAGCGCATCTAATAAGTGGCCCGTTTCGAGGGCACAGCACACACACACACACACACATGATCTGGAGTTTCAGATTTTTGTGTACGGACCTGTGCCTCGAGGAAGATACAACTGGCTATACGCCTTAGTTCAGGGTCATCGTAATACCTTGCTGCATCGTCTCGGCTTGTGTTTCATTTGGCCCCCTATAATGCTGATGATCAGGCTTAGTTAAGGGGTGCAGATGATAGATGGTGGCTTTTGCAAGAACCTTTCGACAGACTAACCAATTCTCACCATATTTTATAAAAAAAAACTCAACGAAGTTCTCAAAACCACTGAATACAGTTGATTTCGTTTGATACTCTTCAGTTGCTCCGGCTTGTCCAACCTCAGGAAGAGGAGTTCTTCTGCACAAATTCGTTCAAAAACAATTTGAAAGAACCTGTTCCTTTCAAGCTTACATGCGCTATGGCGAAACAGGCACAACCCGTCTGGTGATGCAGACGGCAGCCAACCCAGCGATTCACCAATGTTTGTTTGTCGGCCAGGTGCGGGAAGGAAAATATCTGATTACGACATGCGATCTGACTTTTTCAAGTGTTGAAATCAGCATCCAGCACATAGTACGCAGGCTCCATTTATGACCATTTTATATGATGACAGTTTAATCACTGACATTCATACACCGACAAAAACAGCAGTGTTTTGAATTTACGATGCGGAGTGGTATGTGTACTCTTTCAATCGGTTTCAAATTAGGCAACATAGAGCAGAGCTAAAAAGACGAGGGAATTAAATCCAACGTCCTTGAAAGTGGGTGCTGTCCTCGAGTTCAAGGAAAACTCTGGCATGTTATGTTGAGAATCATCAGCAAAGACGTGTCGGTATATCCGACGACATGTACTGAGTCCATATAATATGGCAATTTTATGGACATTTCCCATTGCAATAAAATCAGACGTCAATGCCATACAGGTAAATAGACACAAAAATGAGGCTATGTCAGAAATAGTAGATGAAATAGTTTGTATAAATGTATAATCCGAATTTGTGCGTAAGGTAATACAAGGGCAAAAGTCGAAGTCTCTTTTCTCCCGTTTTTGCAGGTGGACTCGGGATATGTTGATTTATACCTACACTCAGACGCCATTAATGTACATTTGCACAATATCGGCGCAGTAAATGAAATTCATTTTGCGTACGGTGCCGTAGGAACTCAAGGAACACTACGTTCGACAGGCATTACATTCACAAACTTGACTGATGCCATACAAAGCAGCTGGTCAGCTCCACAAATTACAACTAAATGGAGACAATCAGCTATGGACAACATTGAAAACCTTGCACTGCAGGCACTATCAAATAAACCCGTCGTCTCGTGTGTCCTATAGACGCACTTTGTCCGGGCAGTGAACCCAGCAGCACACGCGTGCCTCAAACGGACTGTCTTTAATTTCGGTACTCCACTTTCTGAAGAGTAAATACAATCTCTGCAGAGAAAAATACTTATTCCTTGTAACAACCAGACCACGGGTTTCTTACACACCGTTGCTTCTACTACCACTACCACCACCACCACCACTACCACCACCAACAGCAGCAGCACCAACAGCACAAACGCTGTGCAATTAATTCCAACCTTTCCCAATTACGGCTGCACTTTCACACAAGCCATAGGCCTGGTCGATCACTTGTGAAGCCGTCGTACTCTGAGCGGCTAACAAGTGTCTGCAGAGGCAAGCACTTATTCCTGGTAGTAGTCAGACCACGGGTTTCTTTCTCTTGCATGCGTAGTTTATGGGACTTTCCGCGAAGAGAGTGTTAAACAACACACTGGACAGGAACACCGGACATTAGCGCGCTCCCCAAAACGGTTAAGAGATTAAATTCGACCTTCTCTGCCAACCAGAGACTGTAGTTGAGTTCATGGTAGTACGTCGTATGCTGAGGAAATGCAAGCGCAGAGTAAACTCGCAGATGGGGCCTGCGTTGGAAACGACGAATGAGTACGGTGATTTGCACTGGGATGTCATTGTAGATAATAGTGTGCCTGCTTACTTCACTGAATCCTTCAATCTGAAAAGAAGCTCATGTATTTGAAGAAACAGATACACGCACCTGACGGATGAAACTTACGTTCGCGAAGTTAATATGAATTTGACAGAGATCTTGGGGAGAGGACTTTCACTCTTCTCTTCTAACAAGGATGCAGCTGCTTCTATTGTCGAACTGAAGGCCTTCAATGCGGCTTTGACAGCAAGGTCCATCTGCCGTTTCAATCCTTACGTTATTTGTTGAAGTTGAAGGCATGTAAGATTGCACGATCGTTGTAAGGCCGTCCATCACTTGAATGGGGCAAAAAGATTTTCGATGAGATTTAGGTCCGGACTGTTGGCGGGGATAAAAATGCTTCGAAGGTCGCAGGCAGAGAGGCTGGCTGCGGTCTTAAGTAGTAGATCATAGTCGTATACTGAATTGGAATCATACCGGATATCCGGAGATATCAAAATTTCCCTAAATTTGGTCCGTTTCCTCTGAATAAAACTGAAATAACATGACCTATTCTTTAGAAAAGGGCTTTTTGGGATTCTAATCAATCATAAAAACAAAAATAACCATACCAAATATGTGCCGTCCCGTCAACTCAAATGCCGGTCTCGACATTTCATGAGTTAAGCCATCTACTGTAGGTTGCAGCTGCTTCCGTTGCCGAACTGAAGGCCTTCAATGCGGCTTTGGCAACGAGGTCCATCTGACGTTTCAATCCTTACGTTATTTGTTGAGGTGGAATACATGTATGATTGCACGATCGTTGTTAGGCCGTCCCTCACTTGAATGGGGCACAAATCTGCCAGTTTACAGTAGGCGCATAAGTAGACCAGCAAATGATGCGTGGGCAACTGCGGGGTCAGTTCCCAGCTTAATCTGTCCACCACCCGTAAAACATTCGGAGCCGTTGAGCGAACTGGCGGAAACTCGTGTTTTGGCTAACAGTATCAATCGCCTATTTTCATCCTCGTGGAAATAAGTAGATGATTCCAACTCCGAGCGCTAACAGCTTGGTAGATAAGCAGATTGGATAGCTGGCGAGCACAAGCAAATTTGCCTGGTTTAATCGTGCATGTGGTAGTTTCGTAATGAAAAATATGGAATATTTGAGGAAACATGATAGTAAATGAACGTAGTGTTTTAAAAATCTTCAACTGGCGACTGCATCAATTGCCATTTTGACATTCTCATCGAAGTACATAAAACAGACAAGCCTAACTCTGCGAACTGACGGTTTTATTGGTTGATCGGATCGTCCTGTCGGTGGCTAGCAGGCATAAGCCAGGTTACATGGTTTATTCGTGTATATGCTAATTGAGAGACGAAAAATATCATATAGGGGATAAAATGTGCTATTGAAATCTGGGGTTTTTAATTAATCCAGAACTTACGTTTATATTCAATGCAACCGAATGTCAGGGATGCGTACAAACATACTGCATAGAAGAGGGCAGGCGACATTTTCAAACGGGTTGTAGTGGCCAGTTATTCATATACATAGATGTGTATAACGGCCCAGCATGTCTACTGACCGGATGCAGTCGGTTATTGGAGGTTGTGAATAACTACACGGTGACGGCCAAGGACTAATTTAGTGTGCTGAACGTACATCAAGTTCGGTAAATATTTCAGGTATTTCGTTGTTTGTTAATGGGAATCCCATAGTTGTCCTGTCGGTCAATCAGTAACCGCATGAAACAGAGGCGACAGACAGTCTTGTGCGCATGAATGTTTGTTTGATGAAGTTTTATTACTTCAAGCATGAGAGGGCGAAGAGCCTGCGAAGCCGACGCTGAGGAATCCGTAAACAAGAAAAATCAGCACGTTACTCACTATAATTAAGCTGACGCAATGGAGTCTATCACAATGCACCGAAAGTCATGGTTCGGAAGGTCGGAAGGAGGATTCAGTCACCGCATGGACTGGGCGTCATCCTGATGCGACTTTAATATTCACAGTCACTCGAGTTCCCAACAGCCCTTACGAACAATTGGCAAGTGCTGTAGAGGGGCGGGACTGTGTGTGGCACGCGTAGACGGTTTGTACAGCTTCGCCGCCCGCCGTGGCCACGACCAGATCTGCCATCCGTACAAGGTGGGTAGGAGAGGATAGAGTGCCCCATCTGTTTATTCAAAAACTAACTGACGCGCAATTCTGCGTCAGTTGGGGAACACGGAATAAGTTGCCGTTCGCGACTGACGAAATACAGTGTATTTCTTATTCCCTCCTTGAGGCAGCTTCACGAGAAATCTTGCCTGATGTCTCCCATTTGAGAAGGCAGTTAAATCGCGGTCCTATAATGGATTTAATAGTCTCTCTTGTACACTGAGCGGACAGTTATTTGATTGTGAAAACTAGTTGGCGAAGTGATCCGCTTAGACATTTGCAGGAGCATTAGAAAAAGTATAGTTTGAGGTTAATTAGGCAACACATATCTCAGGGCAAACTTCAAGCATTCTTGGTGTTTTAAGAGACGTCCATCGGCCACCAAGAAAGACCCTTTGAAAATTTACTTTCCTATAAAATTATTGTGATTTGTTACATGTCCGCAACACGGGTTAGGGTTGGTGATTAGGGCAACCATTTCTCAATTACTCAAAGTACAACCGCGCATTCCCAATAGCAATTACTTGACCTCTTCGACTGTGCGTCCACAAGCCCCACCTGTAAAAACCCCTATTACCACCGGTCGCCTATTACAGGCGGCTAGGGCTGGTTTACCTCAGGTGCGACTACATAATCATATCTGACCCTTTTCCTATTCCAGAATAATTTTGAACCGGACCAGCCGTTGGGTTTGCATTCAGGGTTTCCAAATTAAAAGTTGTGCATTTTCCGTGTATGAAAAGCCACATATTTCTCTACTGCATTAACGAGAGACTATATGGGATTCATAAAATGTGGCATTGGGTGTGGACCAAAGTGCATTCTTTACAGGCAACATTAGTAAATGCAGAGACAGGATATTTCGTGAACGGCATTTCACGCTCTAATGAAAATTTCATGAACGAAAAAACTATTTAAAGCAGACTTATACATTTTCCTCAAGTATAAAATTTGAATAAGGCACAATTTTCAACGAAATGTCTAAAGGAGTGAAAATGTATACTCATGTTTTCTAAGAGATATGTTTGAATTTCTCCGATCATCAAAAATCTATGAGAAAATGTCACGCTAATTAACTAGTCATTTTTACCGGATACAACTTTTTTTCAATCAGCTGTAAAGAAGTTCGTTCGAAAGCCGGCATCTCGACGTAACTGAATTACCATAGGATTATGCTGCATGTTGATTAACAAAACAAATCTACTTAAGCAATCTTTTTGATTCGAAAACGCATTTCAGAATTTCGGTAAACATTTCATCTACATCCTGACACATCTACTGCAAATTTGCCTTATAAAATCTGACCATTTTGCTTATTAGGACATGCCTCCACCTACATGAGTGCTGCATATTCTCATGTGTGACTTTGCTCCGATCAGAAGTGGTCGCGGCCACGGTGGCCAGCAAAGCTGAACAACCTGTCTGCACGTGCCACACGCAGCCTCGCCCCCCCCACGACATGTGCCAGTTCTTCGTAGGGGCGGCTGGGATCTCCAATGACTGTGACTATTAAAGTCACATTGGGGAGGAAGCCTTGAGTCCGACTTTCAGTCTCCTTGCGATGACTGACCACGACCTCCCGAACCACGACTCTGGGCGCATTGTGATAGACTCCATTGCGTCAGTTTAATTATTAGTCAAGAACGTAATGATTTTGATTGTTTACGGATTCCTCAGCGTCCATTTCGCACGCCCTTCCCCCTCACATGCAACAGAGGACGACGAGACAATTCCGTGTAGCCTGGCATTATGAGTCAACATTGTTGACGTACTTGCTTCCTATCAGTAGGCGTGCTTTTATTAAGTTACATATTTCAGGCGTTTCGGCCGCGCGGGTGTAATTTATTCGACCTCGCTTTGGTATACCTTGTCCGCTGCTGAGTTGCCATTGCCATACCTCCCGCATATACTTACAGCTGCCAATTGGACGAAGGAAGGGCGGTTATGCTGTAAATTCCTTCATGTTATTGCTCACGTTCACATTCCCCCTCATCGGCCACTTAGCGTGCTTGCTACATTACTACGACTGGGTACTCCAGCTACGTTTGCTTTATTTGGCGTAGAGGCTCTGTCAGGATGAATTTCTCCTTCACTTTAACCGCCCCGAGAACGAGGCGCTGCAAGACTGTCTATATGGGCTCATTGCATTGCACCCCCCACACGGAAATCTTTAGTAAAAGGCGAAAGAATTAACCTTTGCCGATTGCGGTTCAACACGCTTTCCTTTATCCTTCTAATTGCGAGCTGCTTCAGTCGTGTTAACGGATCGCTACCCCTCACCCCCCCCCCTTTTAAGAAACAGCCCCGTTGTATTCGATCGCGGGGGGGGGGGGGCCTCCCATACCGCGTTCCCTGCGGTTACCGCGTGAGTTGGTTAGGCGCGTAGGCGTTGGGTGCACTTAATCGGTGCAGGTCTGGCCCGCCAGTGCACCTGCCCTTTCTACATACTTCAGGGGCTGAACTAGCCCTTCATGGCTTAGCCGTACAGACGTTAAACCCGGTTGCTGGCTTCCTGTGCGGTCTCCTAAGGCCGCTTGCCGTTTGCTTTCTTTGCCTGCCGTACGGCTCACTTCCCCTCCCTACACCCAACCGCAGCCGGCTTGGAACAGCTACCAGTATGTTTGGCTCTCCCGTTATACGTACATCATTCATCGGTTTTACGGTCAGCGTACTTACGAAGTAGCCTTCCGATTGGTCATGATCGGTAGTTAGGGTGTTCATAGGTTTTCCATAAATCCCTTCAAACACTACGATATCAATCCCCGTTGGCGCATTTTCGGCTGGGGTTATGGGACAAAATGGAAAAAAAGGTTCAGAGGTATAGTAAGGAATTCACTATTTCAGTGCGGAGTATGAAAGAATTACAAACTGTTTCCGTTGTACCAGTTTTCAGTGGCCAAAATGTCAATTGCCTGGCCGTTCAGTTGTTCTCCCTGGCTGTTATTCCACTGGCTGCTGTTATTGAACTATGTGTACAACATCATTAACATCTCACTGCTTACCTTTCCGGTCAGCTGCTAAATATCTCGGTTTCCGAGTGCTCTTCTGATACTGGATAGGCATGAGCCACATGGGACCTTCGATAAAGCCAGGCGACTATCCATAAACACCGAACCAGTTCTCAGTGCCCTTTTGGTACCACATTTGTTACACCTAGGCAATGCATTATATTAATATTTTCGTGTACCTGAAGTCAAACTCGTCTGTGTGCTGACGCAATATTCGCAACGGCATCGGTTTACGACAGCGACATCTGGCTTCCGTCGCCATGCCTCGTTTAGCTTGTAACTATTGCACTACATATGGGGACTGGATAATATACAGGGTCTGTTCAATCTCCGATGGCATTATTAGCTTGTGGAGCTGCCTTACGTTTCTTCTTTGCTGTCACCCTTCTATAAGTGGGAAATGTTTGGTAATTATTGAACAAATTAATAAATTCGGATTCCGTCCTCCGTATTTTGCATTCATACTTACCGTTCTTCGGGTTCACTTTCCACCGCCCTACTTGTCGCTGGCATTTGACCAGGATTCATCATCAGTGGCAGTATTGTCTGGGGCACCTTAGGCCGAATGGCCTTGGCTTTGGGTATATTACTCCAATTGGTTACGACTTCCTTTTTGAATTTTCGGCACATTTTCAACTCAAACAAACTTTATTATTTACATTGTGAACCTCTTTTTTTACTTTTTTTTCTTACTCTTCGATGGGTTCCCCGTTTACCCCACCCTAAAAACCCCCCCTTCCCACCGATCCCGTAAGACAGGAACCTCTCCTTCGTCTTGCACAGTCCAAGCTACACACAATTGTCCGACCCAGAGGACCCCCGGGCCCATCAATCAAATGCTATTCTGGCCGAGCACAATGACTTACGCAGTGCAAAGACTCATTACTGGGACGGGCCGCCCCCGCCTCCCTCGTGTGTGGTAGTAGTAATGAGCTCGCACGAACCCTGCGCAGCCGCACTGACTCGTATGTGAGCCAAGCGGACTCCTGATTTGGTTCAGCACATCTCTGCTCTAGCCCGCTTTGCGACCCAAATGGTGTGCCAGCGGATGTGGCCAACAGTCCAACTTATGAGACGCAACTTTTGTCACAACTGCTGAAATAGCGAAAATAACCCAAAAAGACGTTGACAGAACTGGCCTGGATTATATCGGCTTTGAATCAGTGTTCGCTGGTTGTTGAACGTTAACTATGAGACGCGAGACGCTGTGTCCACCAGCCTTATACATGTGTTTTCTCATATATACGACTGGGTATCAAGTCGATCTGTTCATCTTCCTCAAAAATCACAGTGGGTCCTAAACGGTCTGTATTTATTTAAGACGATACACAGAGTCGCTCCCTCGCGCGGCGCTGTGAGCGAGTTTGGGTTTTCTTAGTCGGAGCGTGAACCTTGACGACATTCTGGACGCGTATGCCAGCGACCCTGTTTGCAGACGCCGAAAGCAATGAGCGTTTGTGTGGGCCTGGCTGTCGGTGGGCTTGATTATGAGGTGAACACGTCTAGTGGGTAAACACATTCGACCTCATGACAACAACAACAACAGCAACAACCCCATCAAGTGTCATTTAACTTGTCGCATTCTTGCCTGCGTGGTTTCGTGCGCTCACAAACTTTGATGACAGTTGGGACGATATAACATGCTGTCTGGGCTGACGTTGTAGAACGGCCTGAATGTTCTAGGCGAAAGTTCTTGTATACCCTTGTCATACCCAGAAAGACTGATCCAGTTAAATTTGTTCCCCCTATCCTATAGACGAATGAGGTGTGACCTGTTATGGACATTCCGCATTATCCACGGGCATGAATGTTCGCTCAAAACTGACGACTTCTTTGAATTCACGACCACGAGTCACCTGCGTGGTCACCCTAACAAAGTCAAGGGGGAGCGTACACGCCTAGACAATCGGAAGTTTTCCTACAGGATTCGGTGAAGTGAGCCGACGCATTTTTACCTTCCACAATATCCCAGTGCAAATCACCTTGTTCATTCGTCATTTCCAGCGCAGGCCCCGTCAGCGAGTCTACTCCGGACTCGTATTTCCTGAACACATAACGTACTACGATGAGTTCTACTACAGGCTCTGGTTGCCAGAGGAAGTCGAAGTAAATCTCTTGTCTGTTTTGGGAAGTGCGTTTGTGTCCGGTTTTCCTGTTCAATGTGTTATTAAAAATGTTCCACTCGGAAAGACATATTAACAGTGTGATTGCCCTTGGATGGACGAATACATCCATTCTGTGTTCTGTTGAAAGACATTTCTTGTGTCTTTATGATTGTCTTATCGTTTGTGCAGTATCTGCATTTAATTTGTATGCAAGAAAAAGAGATCCGTGGTCTGCCTGTTACAAGTGATGTCGTAATTGGGAAGGGTTTGAATTGAGTGTGCATTATTGTTGGTGATGATGGTAGAAGCATAAGTGGTATTGTTGGAAGCGTTAGGGTGAAGGATTCACTTAACTGTCGGTAGACTGTGAATCGTGTCATACGACAATGGTGGTAATGGGGGTTTCACGAGTGGGCCCTGCACAGAATGGCCACGATGACAGAGATTGGGTGCTCGCATCGTCGGTCCGTGAGTCGTGAGACACCCTCTCCCATTTCCTTGCCAGGGGTTATTTAGCTTACCTTGAAGATGGCCGCTGCTGTTTTAGGGAAGACTTGCATGCTTTCGAAACGGTGTTCAAACTCGTCAACAGACCAAGGGACAAAGTATAGGGTATTAAAAAATCCGTAAGATGTGGTTATGTAGCCGCACCTGATGGACACAATGCCGTTACGTTGGCAGGTATTGCTGTGCGTTGCAGTGTGTGCTCTGATGAAGGCCATGTTTTTTTTTTCGTTTCGGTTTCTACCTTTTTCAACCCAATGCCGGAGGTCCTTCTTGACTTTCGTTCTGTCGTCTCCTTCTAGCTTTCGCGTTAGATGTTTCGGGGTTAGGATTTGGGGCTGCCGCTAAGGGTTAGATTTAGAGATAAAGGGTCAGGGACAGGGTTTGTATTGAGATTAGGACTAGGGGTTAGGGTACGGGTTATGGTTGGTGGTTAGGGTTAGGAGTTAGGGCCAATATTTCTCAACCACTCAAAGTCCAACCGCTCATTTGCAAAAGCTTTTCTTATGCATATAACTACTTGAATTCGTCGCCTGTGCG